TGCTTTCCGGCACCAACGATCCACAGGGGACCTCCTAGCCTACGTCACGCAATTGTGGAGTAAACTCATCCAGTCTTATGGTGAGGCTCATGTCGTTGCTCTTGACATCACGAAAGCGTTCGATCAGCTGTGGCACGCTGCTCTCTTAAGCAAACTTCCATCCTATGGCCTCCCAGAAAAGCTTTGCAGATGGGTGGCTGACTTTATCTCTGGCCGCAAGATATCCGTCGTAATTGATGGGTTCTCCTCTTCATCCCACAACGTCAACGCGGGTGTTCCCCAGGGATTGGTCTTGGCTCCGGCACTGTTTCCCTTACATATCAACGACCTCCTTTCCTGCACGATCAACCCAATCCACAGCTTCGCTGATGACAGCACCCTACATGCAGGAATTCAGAGTGACTAGCCGATCTCCTGCGACGACTTCCTCTCTGACAAGAGACCTGGAGGCTATCACTGCTTGGGGACGCAACAATCTTGTACAGTTCAATGCTTCCAAAACACAGTACTGTACTTTGACGAACAAAAAGCGTCCTAGCGCTCATCCGGATTTGATGGACGGCCGAGTTCCTCCAAAGAGCCATTCATTTCGACTGGTCGGAGTCCAGATCACCGAGGACCTGATCTGGCACGAACACATCTCGTCAATAGCTGCAGCTGCTGGGAAAAAGCTAGGCTATTTGTTTAGGGCTAAGAAGTACTTTTCTCCGCATGACCTTCTCACTCTATAAAAGGCACAGATAAGGCATAACCTCGAGTATTGCTCATACGTTTGGGGTGCTGCCGCCTCTACTACATTATCCCTGCTCGATGCTGTCCAGAGGAGGGCGGACAGTCTCGGTAGTCTTTCGCACCCGGCGGGCCATCGGCGATCTAGCTCTTTTCTATCGCTACACCAACGGGCTTTGCTCCTCAGAGCTATATTCCATGATGCCGCCGCGCCATGTGCCTGCCAGACAGACCCGCCCGACTTTGGCGTCCCATCCTAACCGTGTCGAACTTCGTACATCCAGAACTGGCCGATACGACCGCTCCTTTGTCCCGAGGGTGTTGAGATTGTGGAACAATCTACAAGAGGAACCTTTTCCCAGTTCTACTTACCTTAGACAGTTCAAAAGTCGAATTAATTTCTTTGGGATCATCATATCAGCCGCGGTGTTCCGGCATTTAGGCTTCTGCCTGAGCGGCTGCTTCGATATAAAAAAAAATCATGACACAGGCTTCACCAAAACTGTCGCGCTGCAAACGTGCGTCGATTGTTCCATTCAGATCAATGTAATACTAAACGCTCGTTTTTGTGGCTCGAGAACTTGTCGCCTGTGTGTACGAGAAGTAACCGCGCGTTAGAGCAACACTCATGGACAGCGTCTCCTGATTTATTTTTATTATAGTCACACGCGTTCCTTGCTGAGCATGATCATTTATCATATATGTGAACATAGAAAACTGAAGTTACTTGTTACGTCTCCTGAAAAAGTGTTTAAATAACGAGCCTTGTGGACAAATGCATGCGCAGCTCAAAAGGAAGGAGGGAGCACCTTCAAAAAATTGTTTGGTGGAAACTCCACAAATCATATCTACATAACTATCCTTGATAGTTTTCTTTCTATTCGAATTATTCATTATTCAGAGTCTTCCACGTCGATTTGACAATTTATATGGTTATGGAAAACTACTAGGATTACTATGTATTTTGAAACATTCAAGCAAGCCAAATGTGAACCTTGCTGTAAAAGAACTTGTACAGAAGGATTTATGTATTCTGAGTAAATGCAAGGCCCCTATAAGTCTATAAAAGACTTGGTAAATTGAAGGAAACGCCTTCAAAATGGGCATGTCCGGTTCGTTGAAACAGATAATTGGTTATTGCAAAAAATCTTCCATGTTTTGCCGGAAAATGGATAAGAGTATATATGAAATAGTATCCAATAGTTAAAGATAGTGATTAACATCGAAAAAAATTTAAATAACCTTTTTAGTATCTAGTTGGACATTGCTATAAAACAATCAAAAATGTTATTTACAAAAATTGTGGTGTATACGCATCCTACTTGGAAAATGAACGATTTATTATTTTTTTTTTTTTTATGAAACACCGTACAGCTTTTAGTATATTCTAATATGCCATTGTAAAGGGAGGAAGTTTTAATATAACCTATGTCTTAAAAGTTTTGACACCAAAAAATATTTATCGGATTTTTTTAATGAAGAAATTTATCATGAGGTCCTGATAGGAATTCAGATCAATTTCTCTCAGTTTTTCGGAAACTCGCAGTCTTAATTGTTTTTCATGTTGGGCCTCCCAGCCTCCATTATGAACCTTCCTATACAGTAAAGTCCAATAATCCCCTATTGGGCGAGCCTGCGGCGAGTTTTGGAGATTATCGTTTTTGGGAACAAAAGTTCTGTGTTGTGAAAGCCAGGTTTGGGTATCTTTTGAGTGATGGCAGCCAAAACATGATATGGTCATTAGTATGATGTTCGTGGACAAACTGAAGCAATTTGGAAAGGCAGTTATCTATACAGCTCTAACTATTCAAAGCTTCATCCCTCACTCTTCCGACAAAAGGTTGGGGTACACCCCTGTTAGAATTGCGCAATAGACAAGGATTTTATCTGCAAATTTCGCTTTTTGTTTGTATCTGACATTGTCAGGGCATTCCTCTACGTTGTCCGTAAATAATCCGTCGTTTCCCTTCATTTCAGAATTACTCAAGTGAAATACTTTTCGTCGTCTAAAATAATGATTTTTCCATTGGGACAGTATACCCGCCTCAGTTGACGACAGCATCTTGGTATACGAAGGAGTTGCGCTTGAGAGTATTTGGGGCACCTAAGTCCCATTCGATATCTAAGACCATTCCTCCTCAATTTCGAAGAAGATCTGTATTGACGAGCCAGTCTCCTTCTTGACATTCCAACCTGATTATTTGCTCTTCTTACCAATTCTCTGACCTCTGTGCAGTAAATGCACGTGGTCTTCTACTTTGTAGGAGATTCAGGAATGGTATTCCCTGCTGACATTGTTCGATAAATGGTTCTGCGTGCCTTTCTTATTCCTAATTTTTGCAACATCTTAAACACGACTTTAAAATAAATAAATGTCAACTGTTAGTATAGTAAGTAAACAAACTTTTGTTTCCAAAGGCAATTTGATATTATTTTGTGTTTGTTAAAATCAAAGTCAATGAATTTTGTGTCAAAACTTTTAGGGCATTCGTTAGCTGGTGATATATAGTACGAGTATATTATACTAATTCCGGAAATAATTTCTCTTTGTAGATATTTATTCGTTGTCTTTTGTACAATTACTTGAAATTTCGACAGTCACTTAGTTTATTCTAGAACGATTTGAAAAACAATTTTGTCACATTTTCGCCATTTTCATCTCTGAAACGGTAAGAAGTCGGTTCAATGATTGACAGGTTGCGTATTTATATAATTTAGAAAAAGCATTTGAAAAGTTTTGACGCTTTCAGTATCTCCAGAGATATACGAAAAATGCAACAAATTTGCCCCAAATCGTTTCTAATTTTTTCTGAACTTATTTGAAATAGGATTTCAAAATAAACTGCACCTTGACTTTAACACCTTTGGACCTTTGCAAGGTGACATAAGTAAAACATTTATATAATCTTTCGTCCCTTGTCACCCGTCTTGACAAAAAAGATGATAACATGTTACGCATTGATATAAAACTTCAAGAACCTAATTTCATATTGTTGGTTTAAACTCATCGAATGAGAAACAACATAGCTTAAACATTTATATTATTTAAGCGTGAACATCGAAAAAGGAATAATTTTTACTGAGAGTTGAAACGTCAGATCTAAGTTCTAATTATGCCACCATGTAGAAAAGGAAAAGTGCTAATGTTATTGTGTAATTGATTTGAACTTTGTAGACTATGTGGATGTTTGGAAAGTTTTGCTTCGGACTAATGCCAGGAAAAATTAAAAACGACTTAGAGTAAATTCGGAAATACTTTGAATTTCCAAATTGTTCAAGTTACAGTTTTTTATTTACCTGAGCAACATACCCCATAAAGTATTCCGCGTCGTATATTTATCATGAGAAGCGAATGTTATGCAGAAATCCACTGATGGTACGAACGACAGAAAATGCTAATCGTAACATATATCGTGCTCGTATCGTCAGTCGTCCCTACAATTGTAGGGCGCCTTTATGGCCTCCTTGATTGTCATAGGTTTCTACTTCTCCGTGTCAGCGCTCTATTTTGAGGTTATGTCACAAACATCTATTTGAATCAAATTGTGCTTGCTTTTGAGTTATATCATGTTTTATCAGCCTGAAATTTCCTACAATTTAAAAAGAAAACATATCTTCACAATAGGAGAGCGCTGACACTGACACGGGACAAGTGTAATCTAGAAATTTTTGAAGGAGAGAAACGAGTATGACAATCAAGGAGGCCATAAACGCGCCCTACAATTGTAGGGACGACTGACGATACGGGCCTTAGCAAAATTAAGTTTATATCTGACATATATTTTAACTGAACTAAGTAATTTCTTATCTGACAGTTATTGAATCAGCTTGTGGAGAATCATGCTGAAGAATAATTAATTTAATTTTTGTAAAAAATGTTCTCTCCATCTAATTTTTGCCGAGCTATGGGACAGCTGCCCCCCTTGCCATCTCTGGGTACGCCCTTGCTTGAGAAACACCTCGGCGATTTGGATCTAATATAGTGTATTATGGCCTTGCAACATGACAAGAATCTCTGTAAAGGGCAAACAAGTATTTGTTCCTAAGAGGGGGAGCCCAACTCCCTCCCCTTCTGCTTTTTAGGCACGCCCACGCTCATATGCCAGGGAAAGAACTTGTTAAACCGCTTAAAAAGGGCGCTCCTACAGTGAGCCTTGCGGAACACCATTACGCTTCGGTTCTGTTACAGTGTATGGACACCATACGCGATGGTACCTTTAGCACGTGTCACTCGCATCTCGAGCTGGCTTGCGATTGGCTAGCCGGGATCCCACACCTGAGCAGGTAGACTGCTGGAGGGTGGCGACGGTCTGTAGAGTCGCCACTGCGTCTCACCAGTCCGAGTACGTCGCTCGAGCGGTAAAGCTCACCACGCTTTGTTTAAACCACCCCAAAGGTGTCCGCGAGTAGTACCTTTTTATAACGTAACTGTTCAGTAGTACCGTGTGTAGTGCTGGATCTTCACTGTGGTGATCATGTGCGCAACGACCATGGATTAATTTGTGAAATTTACCTAGCACGCGAAGAAGAAGACTGGACAAACACGTTACTGCAGCGTAATACAAATGTGGAGCGAGCTCTGTATCTCCGGTTAAACTAGGTTCGTAAAGTAACACTCACTTTGCTTCTTTAAGCACGTTTCACTTGCTCAGTATTATAAGAATGTTGTACTCTAAAAGTACGGCTTTTAGATTAAAGCCATTCAGTTTCAAGGCGTTGATATTTCGTTTGTCTTCTTGTACATCACAATATAAGTAGAATATCTTGGTCCATGAATATGAAGAAGATTCAACTGGTACCAGTAAAGTGGAAACTTGGCTGCTAGGAGACGGAAGATTAGTGCGCGTCCAAGCGGTCAAAGCTCAAATAAGTTACACTCTGCAAGTACGCCTGACCCCTGTACACCCAATGGGTTCTTTCTAACAATGAGCCTTTGATGACAGTCCCAAACGATATTTACAGGAACCAGTGCAGTTCCGTACTGGCTAGAAAACACCTCATCGTAATTTTGTCTGGAAAATCAAGAACTCGCTGCCTAAAGAAACTTCTGTGGCATATCTACATCTCAGTTGGTCTTTCAATACACTAATGTAAATAATGTAACTAAACACTGTTTTGCGGTATCTGTACCTAATTCAAAAAATACTTGATCTTAGATCCAAAAAAAGTTGAGTATTTAATAATACCTAAGTTCAGTTTCAGCTAAACGTAGATTGATTTTCAACTTCAGAAAATATGATCACGGTAGTTGAATGTTACAAAGTTGCATAAGTTTCATTTATTAAGCTCATAGTTCATAAACCCCTACATTTTTGAAAAATAAGTTCATATCTTGTGAGTATATCCATTCACGAAATAATTGATTCACTGACACTTTAACTATGCCTCTTCACAAAACTTTCATAAATGCTTCACCTATAATGGACTACCAAACATCTTGATTTTAATAATTATAAAAAAACAAATTACGCAAATTATCTCTGATTCACAAATCTGAAGTCACTCAGACTATACAGATCATCCATATATTATTGCCTCATATTTCTGTATATTGTATTATAAATGTTTATAGGTTTTTTGTACGTCATATGTACCCTGTATCTCATTTGAAATTTTCGTTTGAAAATGATGGAATAGCTTGCAGCTAAACTTTGAATTAAATAAAAATCGTTTGTTATTATTAATCAAATCTCCGATGGTGTTAGTTGCACGATATGTTATGTTCTGATATAGTGTAAACAAAATCATGGTAGCATGATAGCACCACTTTCCTGGAGAGAACTTCAGAGGTCTACTTTTAACAATATTGAGGTTAATTATGAACTTAATCTAGCGATAAGATAGATAAATAATGTTAATACAAAATTATGAGCTAAAACAGGCTACAATTAGGTAGATCGTATTTAAATGGTTTTTATGATGATTTGTGGAACATGTTGTATAATTTGAATCCCATAAAATATGGTATATATGAATATTTGGTTCCAACTAGCTAGGTGACCATGGAAGAAACGTTCAATAGCTAATTTACATTATAGCTAGAGAAGTTTTTGCACGGTTACATTACACATTCGACTATGCAATACAATTTTATATCACGATAGCTATGCACGTATCCGGCCAACAGCATCAATAGGAGTACCATCATGTTTTATTACGCATCAAAAATGTGAGCTGCAATAAACATGTTTTCTTTTCTGAACATTCTCAAACGCATTTTTCTTACTGCCCAGCGAAAAAAACGCAAGTGGAAACGGTGAGGGTTGCCGCAAGAACCGGTAGGCATGTCAGTATCGTCGCGGACAGATCATGATGCCCAGATCCTGCCTTGGGGGTGCTAACAAGCAAAATAAGGAACCAGTCAAAAAATGAGTAATAAACTAGTACTACGATACAGCCACTTAGTGACTGGATGCAGGGATGGGAAATAACTCAACTGCAAACAATGCGGAAAAGGAACAGAATCAGCCTTACATGTCCTATGTGGGTGCCGGGCACTGGATCACAAAAGACATCAACTCTTGGGGAAACCAAAACTAGGACCAATGGATCTTAGAACAGTACCGGCAGGGAAACTGTACCAACTGGTGCAGAACACTAGACTGTTGCATTGGGTACTGTGCACCTGTCAGGCGTCCAGTAATGTCTTGAATAAGCGTATTCCAAATTACAGCATACGCTCTATATTTTATGTAGAATGCCTCACAACATCGCTGTTTTCTGACCGCATTCCTTTGCTTTACATTCCCTCACTGGGCAGATAATACTCGATACGTTAGAACCTATACTTCCGAACACATCGACACTGAAGTCGTTAACGATCATTGTGTATATGTGTTACTAAGAAAATACTGACAATCAAATTTCACTAACTACGGATCTGTAAGTCTCACCTCCTGATATGAATGCCGTTCTCAACCGGGTGTACCTGAAGTACTTGAAAGCTTTCATACTAATCCCGGATAGGGATAATGCCTCTCATTTAGGCAGTTGTAACAGTAAATCAGCTGGTGGAGAAGATGCACAATCCTAGCAGGTACTTTCCTCAAGAGCCTTTACCTATATAGTAAAAATATTCAGTTTGAAGATATATAAATTTTGCTATAATAAACATTCGCAGGTAAAATTTGTTTCGTCCATCGACTGCTAGAATCGGGGTAAAATTACGACGTCACGTAGACTCTATCAAACTAATGGACGCACTGAGAAAATGACAAAAATTTAGAAAATCATATTTCACTGAAATTAAGTGTATTAATTTCTTGGATGTGTGGTTTCTAATATGATTGCCAAAATGCTTCTATTTTATATTTTTTGCAGCAAATCGCTCGGTTAATCTAGCACAACCGTATTTTTCTAACAAAAATTTTGTATTATTTGTTACAATGTGAGTACTTAGCAGACAAGTAAATAAAACTCAAATGGAATATTTTTGTACAACGAAAATATATCGGGCTGAATTGGCAGTGATGGGCGGATGGACAAGATGCTGCGTGTTAGAAATAATTGCAGAAACAAAAAGATAAAACTTAAGTTCAATGCTTCAACAGATTTAATTCCGAGGTTAGATAAAAGTTATACTGTACTGATGTTTTGTAGGGGTCAAGCTGTCTAACTAACCTAAAGATTACAATCAAAAAGTTTAATGACTGAGCGTCAACTTTTTAGAATTATATACCCAGAGTATACGTTTATTGTCATTCAAAATGGCGGACTGGCAAAGGTTTAGTGCTTCAGCAAATCAAAATGCAAAACCCTGTATCTTCTTCTGGAAGGATCTCCCAAATGTGAAATAAAATATGAGAAGTTCTGCGTAAAGAAATTTGGCAAATTTTGTTTTTTCTTCAATGAAATATTCCATATTGCATTGCATATACGGGTAGGTCGTTCCAAGAAAAGGGAAACTATATTGTTGGGCAGAGATAAAATTTCCGCATTATAGCGAAGGCAACGTTTTACTTAAGATCAAAGGCATTACTGGTGAGAAACAAGCAAAAGGTGACAAGTTACCATGCTACTAAAAATAATGGCCCTATGAAAAATTAGCCACAATGTAGATTCTACAGCATGTTGCCGAAACACGGTGTGAAAATTGAAACGAAATTATTATTCAGACTACTTCACTAATTATCTTGGGGGTATTTCGCCCTCTGTAAGTTTTCAGGAAGCACATTTTAAAAAAAAATAGCTTTTGTAAGCAAGTATCACTCGTGAAAACAGTTTTTATTTGTAAAATTTTTGTGGGAATACTAGGACACACGGACCAAAAAACGCGCACTATAACGCGCATACTATGAGCTGGCTTTACACACGGAAAACCACCGCACGTTTTGCTTGGAATCGGTGTCACATGCTGCTAAACGCGCGTTTCCATCTTCATCAGTTTAATGATAAACGCGCGTCTTTTTTGCAGACATCAATCAACACCAGGGTTACACGTACGTTACATTTATGCGCTCAGTGTTGCCACAGGCTTTGAAATGCCAGACCAAATTTTAAGTACGGAAAGGGTCAGGTTTTTGGAATTAGGGACAAACCCTTGTTTTCAAGGCTAAGCTACTCCATTTCAGATTTTTTTTGTGAAGTTTTGTTTAATTTTCCAAAGTTTTTATGGTGATTTCCTCAAAATTGTAATTTTTAATATAAAACGCTATAACAATAAAAGTTGAAGATTTTTTTATGCATACTTATTATTAGTATTAGTAGCTTGTGCTTCACATATTCCTTTGTGTACTGATAAGGGCGTTGCCTGGGAAGCGCATAGTCAACTTGATGCCATTTTTTTGGTATAAAAGTTTGATGCTCATGTGTTTTGGGCATCAAGTTATGGATCTATGAATATGTATGATGTCCAGAAATCAAAGAATAATCAGCTGCAAGTAGGTCACGTCTTGACCTACTTATTTTTCGAGATTTTCAGCATACGTCTTTCACCCTGTAGTGTGAGAGAATCAAGTACTATCACTATTTCAAAAAGTTGGTTGATTATCGTCAATTATCAATGCTATTATTGTTATTCCCATCCTCCTGTTATTTTAGTTTAATTGCAGTTATAATGGAGGAGGTCTACTCTTCACAAGTTTGAAAAATTGCATTTGATGGCTTGGAATAAGTACTATAAGTACCATTACCTGTCATGGAAACCCTGCATTTTTTTCATAGAATATTTCTCAACCTGTAAGAATAACTAGCATGGTTGAGATGGTGCGACTTTTGAACACAATTTTGCTCAGATCAGCTTGCCACCCCTACATTCCCTAAGCGACAAGCTCCGCCCTTCCAGCAAAGTTGAGTAGGTATCAGCTCAGCTGAGCAAACAAAGTCTTCAAAGCAGTGCTGAAAAAAAATTAGTGGATTTAGGTTCATCGATGGAATAGATTTGATTCGCCAAATTTACCTCTATGAATGTTCAATGTCTGTGACTGGAGCGGCCTCGATCTGGTCGAGTGTGATCTGCCGGAGTAACAGAATTGAGTTCATTCCCTCCCACTAGAGTATGTCAATCTTGCGACAGATAGAGTTTTCATTAAAATTTAGACTTTGGTAGATTTTCATATGGGTTTCTCGACATATTAAGAAACATATGTGGGATGTTATGCT